AAATTCTCTTATAATTGTAGTAGGAAGTGAATGATTTCTGGACCACGATGCCTCAAGATCCCCTAGAAGGTTCTGAGCTATGCTGATACTTGAAAACATGAAAAAATTATAAGAACGCTTGATAAATAATATAAATACTACAGGGGCACGATATGGTGTGGCCCGCCGGCGGGCCACGCGGTCGTCAATTTGTTAATACGCAGTGAGTCCCAAAATTATGGGCGCCAAAATTCAGGAGCTTCTGAGCAAAATGGTTTATTTTACTCTATTCGATAGTAAGTAGTTGAACAAATAGGTTTTCTCGCAAACTGCATAATCCCTGAAGTGAGACTCCCATTATCATTCAGAAGTTGTAGGTTCATTCGATGCTACTTGTGATCAGTTACATGCAAGAGGCGAAATGACATAGTCAAATTTTTTGCGATTTCATTACTAGACGTACAGAAGGCTTCCAAATGACTTATAGAAACGAAATCAATCAAAGACAAATTAGGAAGCAGTAGAAAGGCTGGTGTTCATAAAGACTGGACTATTCAAATAGTTCCTTTGCTAATCGGTCGTGATCCCGAGTGACCCATGGAGAGCAAGGCATCTGGGCAAGACTCAACGAAGTTGTCGATATGGCGGGTTGTCAGTCAAAACCTGCAGTGTCATTATCATCGTGTGCAGGAATACCACATCATTTCCTATTTCAACAGACGGTTTAGGATAAAAGATGCACAAGGCTGCTGATTCACTTAGGTGGGAACACCCTTAACTCCAACGTTTTCTTTGACAAAAAATTTTTCCACATCAAAAACAGTTCTGAACAAACGAAGCAATGGCACTCTGTATAGAAACACATGGAAACATCCGATAGTGCAAGCTCCCAGTCACCGTCAAAGATAAGTCGCACTTGGTTCAGGACCGGTACCGGCATGAAAAAGACGTATACTTAGAGAGTATACCGATGGACGTAGTGAACACTGACCTGACTTCACTTCCTGAAATAGCCGTGGTTTTTCCAGGAAGACAGTACTCTGAACCACAGAGCCGACGGCTTGATCAAGAGTGGTGCCAACGCGAGCTGCCTGACTACATTACAATAGAGAAATGACCATCCTGCTTTCCAGATCTCAAGCCACTTGGCTCCTCCGTACGGTCCCTGATTAGAAGCGGATTTATCGAGTGCAAACCCAATTTGCACTTTCTGAAAGCAAGACTCAAAATGGCTGAGATCAAATGAAGGAGGGGTACCTTTCTCCCTTCCACAGTGGTATGGGATAATTCGATGATTCTTTTGCATTTTTTGAATCATTCTGTGAAACACCCTTCTTCTCTTTACTTGACAAGGATAGTCAAACTCCAAGATTTCCAAGAGCTTAAACTCCATCTAGAGCAAGTGCGCCGCATCATAAAGCGATTAGAATCGGACCCTACGGTAGCAAGATGAGCATGCTTTCAGCGCCAGTACGCTATAGAAAGTTCAGTACTCTGAATATCCCGATACACTCGAAGGCATGGTATGATCTGGAGTTCAGAGCACCATTAGTGAACGAATATGAGGAGTCGCATTTCTCATCTCGAAAAATTTAAGATCAGATATGCAGGACACGATGCGATATACTGGTGAATCTCGAACCTGGGCTCTTACTGGCTCTCTCGGAAAGTTAAACGAACACCAGGACTGTTTCCAGCGCGACGATCAGATTTCTTCACGAAGACTTCGAATGAACTGACTGCTATGCCTCGTTTCCCTTGAACGAGAAGGATCCACTGGTCTTCTCTGGCTTGCGACATGACGTGAGGTGATACAGGTGAAGTTAGAGAAGATAGGGCTCTTTAAGATTGCTGGGATTGTGTTTTATTTTTTCAATTGTTCTGTTCTACTTCTTTCTACGAATAAGTAATAGCGTTGACTAATTTTCAGGTAGTTATTGACATCGAACAACGTCCTCTGGCGATCATATCCTATTCAGACATAATGGATTACATCCAGAATAGCTCGGAATCTCATCATAAGTTGAGCCTCGCTTGAGTGCACCCCTCATCTGAACGAACCAAACTTTGATCAGTTTTATAAGGAAACCGTCTTTACAAGTTTTCCTGGTCGCATTCACCAACTGTTCTCAGTGGACTTCTCAGGAATCCTACTATATATAACGCGCTAAGTGTGTCTGTTGGTGTGTGTGTGTGTGTGTGTGTGTGTGTGTGTGTGTGTGTGTGTGTGTG